GAGTTGGTGGATGACTCCACATTTCATTGTGGTTGCATGCCTATTTATAGGCATTCTCTTGTTCTAGAAAGTTCTTCAAGCTTGCTTTTGTTCCACCTCCTTATTCTTTTCTCCACAACTCTAGATTCTTCTACCAACTTGATCTCTTTACTCCATAAGTGTGTGGCTTTCTCTAGATAATTCTCCAATAGTTTAGGCTCATCTCAAAGCTTCTAGATTTTTCCACACATTTCTTTAGCACAAATGTGCATTAATTTCAACACATAGACCAATGGCAAAGCCACCGCAATCAAACATATTGAGCTGGACACCGAGGGCAAATTCTTTTGCAATATGCTCGTCCAGTGAAAATGGGATAAATTTATTGAGTTCATCAGGGAACAGATTGTTGAGAACATCTTGAAGTCGGTAGTTGGTTACTTGAGCTTCAAGGTAGGGGATGCCCTCATTGTTGCATTCTACAAAATGGTCGTGGATTTTCACCCGCCCGGCTAGTGGGTAGAAAAGAGTTAAGACCTCGGCTAAGGACTGCTTAAGGTGTTTTGATGTTTCAGTAATGGTGGGTTGGGTCTCTCTGTTGAATTCATAGAAAAGAACAATAGACGTATATAATGGGGGAGATATTTGATCAAGAAAAGACAATTTGTAATGGCGAAGATGGTTTGGGGTTGGAGAAGAGGGTTTGATGATCTCCTTGGAGATAACTTCAACTTGAACATTCATTTTCTCTAAATATTTGTTGATAGTTTGGTTCTCACTTCTGTGTGGTGGTGGGTATATGATTATATTCACACAAACAATAGGCTGTTAGATAAGTGTTTAGACAATTCAAATTATTGGGCAGTAATTAAGAATTAAATATCTACACATGCGTTGCGTGGGGATTTTAAATAATCCTTATATACATTGTGATTCAAATCTTCTCATCTTTATATAATAATTTGTTGATTTTTCAAATCTTGCAAATTTGTAATTCAAAACATGTATCTTGCAGAATATGAATAATCTCAGGTCATTGTTTCCCAGCTAAGCCTGCAATTTTCAAGCCAACCTGTGCCAAACGCAAACGTAGCTGGAGGCAGTGCATGCAGGCAGTGCATGCAACCTCACTCCACATTTATTTAAATAAAAACATTACGTTGCACAACATTCATATAGTTGAGTATGGATTATAAAAGCACTTTTCTAAGCAGGTGTTTCTTCGAGTAGCATTGATCTGAGGGTGTCACTGGCAGGCAGCACCACTCTCCCTCGCTAGCTGCAGAATTGTTCTCAGCTCATTGTTTGTTGCTCATCCACAGCTCAACCCCAAATCCTTATTTGTTGATAGTGTGGTTCTCACTTCCTCCAAATCCGTATTTTCTTGCAATGTAGGCAAATTGATTTAAAATGTAAAAACATGTTTCTTGCAGAATATGAATAATCTCAAGTCATTTTTTTCCAGCTATATTGATCAAGTCAACTAGGCTGTGCCAAACACATACAATTTGTGATGAGCATCTCCACCTAAAACGCATATAATAAACCTGAGCCCGACCAAAATTTCATTGGTTTGATTTGGGTTGGTCTCTTAACCATACTTGGTGGGATATGGGTGTGAAAATTTGCAGCCTGATTAAACCTGGATGGTTGATGGTTTAAGCTCGAACTTGATCATTATCAAAATCCTAAAGAGATCAAAGACTTTTTGGAATTTTTTTTGTTATCAATGAAATTCACAAAAGTGCATAACAAGGAGGTATGTGTTTGATGCGTCAAAAATTTCTACTACAATCTAATGTAGCCAGTTCAGTTGTTCCAAAACCTACACGTGTGGAAGCGGGTTTCAGCACTCATTTGGAAATGTGCAATGGAAGCATCGAGATCAAACTTGGGTATGTCTCTAAGGCCATGCTCCGTCACACTGTAAACTTGCGTAAAAGGGTCACTCTGCTCTTGCCATAAAACTTGGCTGGGAATGTTGTGGGTTACTTTACATCAAGGGCTGAAGAGAGTTTGATAGATCTAAAAGACTTGGCTTCTAAAATCAGGAAAGGGAGCGAACAAGTGAAAGAAAAATATGCTGCAAAAGTAGGATTTGATTCTAAGGAGACATGTCAAGAGCTAAAAGACTACTACAGAGACCTGGTAGATAATGAAGACATAGACAACTATAACTGCACAACCTTCTGTAGGTTTACTTTCTATGAAACTGATTTTGGATGGGGAAAGCCGGCATGGGTGAGCTTCGCTAGTTTTCAGATTAAGAATGTAATTGTTGTCTTGGTGCATAGGATGATCTTGTCTTTGTAATGTGGTTTAAAAATGTGATCCTTTATGATCGTTTTAGATGCTTTGGATCTTCTTATTACAAACGGCTGCTTTTGGGTATGAATTTTGTAACATGATTCAACAGGGCCGGTTGACGAATTAAGCTTGAATCAGCAGCAGAACCAAACCAGCTCATGCTCACCCGTCGTCGAAGGAAAGGGTCACTTTCGAATTTAGTCATGACTTCCTCCGACAGGGTAACGTAAGCCTCTATTCCACCAGCCTCTTTGGTGTCCAGGAAAAGTATTAGGTCATTTATGGGCAGTGGTGGTAAACCCACCCATGTAGGTCTTCCCCAACCAAAATCAATATCATAGACAGGAAATTGGCACAAACTAGTGTAGGAAGAAGTAACCACCTCCCCTGTGCTAGAACTTTGAGCAAGCCGGTCCATGACCCTCAAGTGCTCACCACCGTGTTGTAGTGTTTTCATGTCCTTGTCAACCTTGCTTAGTGCTTCTCGTACCCTCCTTACCATGCCATAACAAGATTCTTGATCCTCATCATCCCAACTAGAACTTTTACCTAATAAGGGAGCAGTCAAGGAAATACGACAAATATTTCCAAAAGAGTAATGAGGCAACGGTGGTTCAATCCGTGGACGCAAGTTCACAGTATAGATCACTCTGTGCATCTTATTATCATCATCATGATCAGCCTTGGTAGCTCCCACAATTCGCCTCCACATGAAAGCTAACAAGGTCTCAACACGTGATGGGTGTTTCTCATTCTTTTGCAAGTCTGTATATTTTGCTCTGAGGTCCTCTATCGTAGAGGCATCGAAAACAAACCTCTTTGTTACTTTATTCTTTGTGATACCGGCACGCGAATCATAGCCGGTGATCTCCTTGGGTGGGAAGAGTGTGGCCGAAACAAATTGGGGACGCCCTATTTTGGCTTCATCGGTCTCTCCACGGGCAATAGCAGCCCAAGTTTTGGTGAACATGAGCATGGACAGTCCATCTGCAAGCTTGTGAGAAATGCATAGACCAATGGCAAAGCCTCCGCAATCAAACATATTGAGCTGGACACCGAGGGCAAATTCATTTGCAATATGCTCGTCCAGTGCAAATGGGATAAATTTATTGAGTTCATCAGGGACCAGATTGTTGAGAACATCATGAAGTCGGTAGTTGGTTACTTGAGCTTCAAGGTAGGAGATGCCCTCATCGTTGCATTCTACAAAATGGTCGTGGATTTTCACCCGCCCGGCTAGTGGGTAGAAAAGAGTTAAGACCTCGCCTAAGGACTTCTTAAGGTGTTTTGATGTTTCAGTAATGGTGGGTTGGGTCTCTCTGTTGAATTCATAGAAAAGAACAACAGACGTATATAATGGGGGAGATATTTGATCAAGAAAAGACAATTTGTAATGGCGAAGAGGGTTTGGGGTTGGAGAAGAGGGTTTGATGATCTCCTTGGAGATAACTTCAACTTGAACATTCATTTTCTCAAAATATTTGTTGATAGTTTGGTTCTCACTTCTGTGTGGTGGTGGGGTATATATTTTCACACAAACAATAGGCTGATAGATAAGTGTTTAGACAATTCAAATTATTGGGCAGTAACTAAGAATTAAATATCTACACATGCGTTGCGTGGGGATTTTAAATAATCCTTATATACATTGTGATTCAAATCTTCTCATCTTTATATAATAATTTGTTGATTTTTCAAATCTTGCAAATTTGTAATTCAAAACATGTATCTTGCAGAATATGAATAATCTCAGGTCATTGTTTCCCAGCTAAGCCTGCAATGTTCAAGCCAACCTGTGCCAAACGCATACGTAGCTGGAGGCAGTGCATGCAACCTCACTCCACATTTATTTAAATAAAAACATTACGTTGCACAGCATTCATATATAGTTGAGTACGTACGGATTATAAAAGCACTTTTCTAAGCAGGTGTTTCTTCGAGAAGCATTAATCTGAGGGTGGCACTGGCAGCTCCACTCTCCCTCGCTAGCTGCAGAATTGTTCTCAACTCATTGTTTGTTCCTCATCTACAACTCAACCCCAAATCCTTATTTGTTGATAGTGTGGTTCTCACTTCCTCCAAATCCGTATTTTCTTGCAATGTAGGCAAATTGATTTAAAATGTAAAAACATGTTTCTTGCAGAATATGAATAATCTCAAGTCATTTTTTTCCAGCTAAGCCTACAATATTGATCAAGTCAACCTGTAGGCTGTGCCAAACACATACAATTTGTGATGAGCATCTCCACCTAAAACGCATATAATATGTGATGAGCATCTACCTAGGTGGAGGCAGTGCAACCTCGTTACCCAGCATTTCAAATGTTTAGGCCTTATAGCTTTGAGATTGTTAGCCATTTATTTTTTTCTTGAGAAGCAATCCAAATAAACCCTAGCCCGACCCAAATTTCATTGGTTTGATTTGGGTTGGTCTCTTAACTATACTTGGTGGGATATGAGTGTGAAAATTTGCAGCCTGATTAAACCTGGATGGTTGATGGTTTAAGCTCGAACTTGATCAATATCAAAATCCAAAAGTGATCAAAGACTTTTTGGGATTTTTTTTGTTATCAATGAAATTCACAAAAGTGCATAACAAGGAGGTATGTGTTTGATGCGTCAAAAATTTCTCCTACAATCCACTGTAGCCAGTTCAGTTGTTCCCAAACCTACACGTGTGGAAGCGGGTTTCAGCACTCATTTGGAAATGTGCAATGGAAGCATCGAGATCAAACTTGGGTATGTCTCTAAGGCCATCTGTGCTCCGTCACACTGTAAACTTGCGTAAAAGGGTCACTCTGCTCTTGCCAGAAAACTTGGCTGGGAATTTTATGGGTTACTTTACATCAAGGGCTGAAGAGAGTTTGATAGATCTAAAAGACTTGGCTTCTAAAATCAGGAAAGGGAGCGAACAAGTGAAAGAAAAATATGCTGCAAAAGTAGGATTTGATTCTAAGGAGACATGTCAAGAGCTAGAAGACCACTACAGAGACCTGATAGATAATGAAGACATAGACAACTATAACTGCCCAAGCTTCTGTAGGTTTACTTTCTATGAAACTCATTTTGGATGGGGAAAACCGGCATGGGTGAGCTTCGCTAGTTTTCCGATTAAGAATGTAATTGTTGTCATGGTGCATAGGATGATCTTGTCTTTGTAATGTGGTTTAAAAATGTGATCCTTTATGATCGTTTTAGATGCTTTGGATCTTTCATATCCAAAGAATATTAGTGATCAATTGCAGGGACGGACCCAAGATTTGAAAATGACATGGGCTAAATTCAAGGGCAAAGTTTTTCACATCCAAAGAATATTAGTGATTCACTGACCTCACTATAACCGGAACAGAAGACAAAAAAATTTAAAGAATATATTTGCACTACATCAATTGAGATTAGTCGATGGTTTGCAACATCACTACAACACCCATGTGTTGTTAGATGAGTTTTACTTTTAGGATTTGAGGAGTGGATAGATTAAATCACACTCATCCAATACTATCGCGATATGATCATGACCAATTAATGGTAGTGACCAACTCTATTCTCAAAATTTTAAAAAGGTTGGTAATGTTGGGTAAATAATGTACAAAGGTTTCCACTTGTCACAATATGGCAATGTTAGGTAAATAATCACAGTTTGACTAATTCGTACTATAAATACTCTTACGGAAAATACTTGCATCATGCCCATGTAAGTAGAACTTGTACTCCTGTCAATCACAGTTTGACATGTATGCAAATTTTTTTTTTTTTTTTGTGTGTGTGTTTTTAATTAATTATTTTGCATGTATCAAAACTGTGATTAATTTACATGAATGATGAGGCAAGCAATGTCCTAATCTTATTGCGCGTAAAACGTATCTACATACAATTAATGATAATGGCCAACTAGCTATTAGCCTAAGAGTTTCCTTTTCACAATGCCAAAAAAAGGTATCATAGCCCTCTCAAGAGTTTCCTTTCACAATGTCAACAAAGGTAGCGTATGGATTTTCGGTGGTGATTAGCCATAATAGCCAAGCAACTGCTAGGGACTGCTACCTGTATAGCACAGCCGCCTAATTGCTCCAGAAATTAACTCAACTGTCCAGTTGACTTAATTGTATCCCAGTACAATTGGATAATAAACTACAAAATTCCACAAAAGTAGGTAGTTCTTCAATGTTTAAGGCAGGCCATGCCGCGGTCTAATATTCATGACATTATTTTCCACACTTTACAGAATCTACTATCAAGATACGGAGCATCAAGTTTGAAATCTGTAAGAGGCAGCCAGTAGTGGGGCTTTTGCCTACAAAGTAGTTCTAGTTATATTCAATTCAATGTAGAACCCGATCCATTATAAGGTAGACCAGCCCCATTGTTCCAATTCACAATTTGTGCTTGCAAAACTTGGAATCAAGGTTGAGCAAAATGGCCACAGAAATCAAGGTTGAAATCATCCAGAGGCAAACAGTTAAACCATCCTCCCCAACTCCTCATCACCTTAGAAATTATAAGCTCTCTATTTTGGATCAGATGGCCGTTCAAACCTACATCCCAATCCTTCTCTTCTATCCCAATGCTGCTGATGCTACTAGCAACAATGTCATGGCCACCAATGAAAGATGTCAGCATCTAATGCAATCCTTAGCTAAAACTCTCACTCACTTCTACCCTTTGGCAGGAAGAATCAAAGGTGGTGCCGTGATTGAATGTAACGATGATGGAGCTGAGTTTGTGGAAGCCCGAGTCAAGTGTTCCTTATCGGAGATTTTCGAACACCCAGATGCCGAGATGTTAAGACGATTCCTACCAGTTGAACCCGAGTCCAGAGAAGCGGGCACAGGCACGTTGCTTCTTGTTCAAGTCAACTTGTTTGAGTGTGGTGGAATGGCAATTGGGTTTAGCATTTCTCATAAGTTTGGTGATGCCGCAACATTAAACACATTCATCAATTGTTGGACTGCAACTGCCCGTGATCAGTCAAATATGTTAATGCTTCCCAAATTTGGTGCTGC